AAACTTCATCTTCCGTTATTGGGGAAAAGACCTGAAAGAATGGATGAAGCTGAGTCGAATCTGTTGGATCAACAGGTTCTGGGGGTTATTCGATTGACCCTATCAATGTCCGTTCCACACAACATCGTCAAGGAGAAGACGACTGCAGATCTAATGGCAGCACTCTCAGATATGTATGAAAAACAATCGGCGAATAACAAGTATAACTGATGAAGAAGTTATTCAATTTGAAAATGTCGGAAGGTACGTCTGTTATACAACACTTGAATGATTTCAATACTATCACAAATCAATTATCGTCTGTGGAAATTGAATTTAATGATGAGATACGTGCACTGATCTTGTTGGCTTCATTTTCAAATAACTGCGATGTTATGAGGATGGTTGTCAGTAATTCTGCAGATAAATCTAAATTAAAATTTGAAGATATACATGATTTAATTTTAGCTGAGGAGGTGCGCAGGAAAGATTTTGAAGAGATCTCAAGTTCGAGTTCAACATTAAATGTTGATTTCAGAGGGAGATCACATGACAGGAACTCAAACATGAGAAGATCAAAATCAAAAAATAGAAGCAAGAGCAAGTCAAGGCTTGGTAAACAAGTAATTTTACCGGAATTGTTATAAAATTGATCACATAAAGAAGAACTGCAGAAATCCTAAAAAGACGGAGAATGACAGTGCAAATGTGGTAACTGAAGAATCACATGATGCACTACTGTTGACAGTTCATAGTTATGTTGATGACTGAATACTGGATTTAGGGGCTTTTTTCCATACAACATTCTATCAGGAATTGATGTAAAATTATGTTCCTCAGAATTATGATGCAGGTGATTTTGGGAAAGTATATTTGGCAGATGGAGAAGCTCTGAACGTGGTAAGAATGAGAGATGTTGACATTGCGCTTCCAAATAAGAACAAGTGGACTCTGCAAAAGGTCAGACACATTTCTGAACTGAAGAAGAACCTCATTTCTGTTGGGCAGCTTGATGAGTGTGGACATTTAGTAGTGTTTTCAAATAACACCTGGAAGGTTACTAAAGGAGCACTGGTACTGGCTCCGGGTAAGAAAACAGTAAGAAAACAGGTACGCTATATACGACTACTGGTTTAATTAACAGTGTTTAAACTACTGTAGCAGAAAGCACAACAGAGTTGTGGCATTGCAGACTTGGTCACATGAGTTAGAGAGGTATGAAAGAACTTCAGTCCAGAGATAAGCTACCAGAATTAAAGTTAGTTAATCTCGACATCCGTGAGAGTTGCATTATGGGGAAGTATAGAAAAGTTAATTTCTTGAAAGGTGGTAGAACACCAAAGGCAGGAAAGTTGGAGCTTGTACACACAGATGTGTGGGGTCCTTCTCCAGTGGCATCTCTTAGAGGCTCTCGTTAGTACGTCAAATTCATTGATGATCATAACAGAAAGGTATGAGTTTATTTTTTGAAGTATAAATTTGATGTATTCAGTGTGTTCAGGACTTGGAAGACCGTTGTTGATACAAAAACATTCTTAAAGCTGAAATGTCTGAGGTCTGATAATGGTGGTGAGTACATTGATGGTGGGTTCAAGAAGTATTGTGTAGCTCAGGGCATCAGAATGGAGAAGATCACTCTAGGGACACCACAACAAAATGGTGTTGCAGAGTGCATGAACATGACCATTAATGAGCGGGCTAGAAGCATGAAATTGCACGTCGGACTACCACCTACTTTCTGGGCAGAAGCGGTCAGCACTGCAGTTTATTTGATCAATATAGGGTCATCTGTTCCATTAAACTGTGAATTACCTGAAGAAGTTTGGAGTGAGAAAGAGGTAAAATTTTTTAACCTTAAGACTTTTGGTTGTCTTTCTTATATTCTCATTAATTTTAATGCTCGAAGTAAGCTTGAGGCCAAGTCAAAGAAGTTTTATTTCATTGGTTATGAAGATGAGACATTTGAATATCGTTTTTGGGATGTTCAAGGTCCAAATATCATAAGGAGCAGGAACGTGATTTTCAATGAGAATGTCATGTACAAGGATAAGTCCAGTATAGTTTTTGAAACAACACTGCAAGAATCTGATTTGGTAAGATTTGATGATTTACCAAATGTCACAGTACAGGGCAAAGATGAAGGTGCTGAGGAGAGTGGATCCGGGGCATCCACTCTTATGGTTCCTCAGTCAGTTTCAGAGCAGTCTACCCCTACAGTTGCAATTTGCAGGTCAGAAAGTGCTAGACGTTCTCCACTGGTTATTCTCCAACTTTGAACTACATTTTGATGACAGATGATGGAGAACCTCAGAGTTATGAAGAAACCTTGCAATATGAAAATTCCTTACAATATGAAATTCGAGCAAGTGGGAGATAGTCATGAAGAAGGAGATTGATTCTCTGCTAGAAAATCAGACTTGTGAGTTAACAAATCTTCCAACAGGGAAGAAGACATTACACAACAAGTGGGTGTATCGCATGAAAACTAAGTATGATGACAGTAAGAGGTACAAGGCTAGACTTGTTGTAAAAGATTTTCAACAGAAGCATGGTATTGATTATTTTGAGATTTTCTCTCCTGTGGTGAAGCTTACAACCATCAGAATGGTACTATCTATGGTGGCTACTGAAGAATTCTTCCTTGAGCAGTTAGATGTGAAGACAACTTCTCTTCATGGGGATCTTGAAGAAGACATCCACATGCACCAATTTGAAGGATTCGTGGTACAGAGAAAGGAAGAGTCAGTTTACAGATTGAAGAAGAGCTTATATGGTCTGAAACAAGCTCCTAGACAGTGGTACAAGAAATTTGATAATTTCATGCACAGTACATGATACAGCAGATGTCAAACAGATCATTGTTGCTATGTCAGGTATTTTGACAATTCTTATATCATCCTACTGTTGTATGTGGATGATATGCTTATTGCAGGTGCTAGTATTGAGAAAATAATCTAAAGGGGCAGATGTCAGAGCACTTTGCAATGAAGGATTTGGGAGCATCAAAACAAATCTTTGGTATGAGAATTGTCAGAGATAGAGTCAGAGGCGTGTTGAGACTCTCTCAGGCTGAGTATGTGAAAAGGTACTTAGCAGGTTCAACATGAATAAGGCCAAACTGGTTGACACACCCTTGGGAAGTCACTTCAGACTCAACAAGAATCAGTTACCCAAGCCAAAGGAGGGACAAGACCACATGAGTAAGGTTCCTTATGCTTCAGCTATTGGTTCACTTATGTATGCTATGGTTTACACCAGACCAGATATTGCCCATGCAGTTGGAGTTGTTAGCAGATACATGAGTAATCCTGGAAAGGAACATTAGGAAGCAGTAAAGTGGATCTTGAGGTACCTAAGAGGCTCTGCAGAAACTTACTTGTGTTTCTCAAGAAAGAGTTCAGAGGCGCGAGGCTTTGTTGATGTTAATCTAGCTGGAGACATTGATACTAGAAGTACTACGAGCTATATTTATACTATTGGTGACACTGCAGTATTGTGCTGCTCTAATCTGCAGAAGACAATTTCGTTGTCTACTATAGAAGCTGAGTACATAACAGTGTCAGAGGCTGCAAATGAAATGATATGGCTACAGGGTTTCTTGGATGAATTGGGCAAGAAGAATAAGAAGGGCATTCTCTACAGTGATAGTCAAAGCGTCATATTTCTTGCCATGAATCCAACATTTCAGTCCAGAACCAAGCACATTCAAATCAGGTATCACTTCATACAGTCATAGTTGGATGAGTTATTGTTGGATGACAGACAAGTGTTGCATGAGAAAATTTGTGGAAGCCAGAAACCTGCTGATATGTTGACAAAGGATGTTACACTTTAGAAACTGAAGTTGTGCGCAACTTCATTTGGTCTTATAGCTTGAAGACAAAGGCCTTGAGTTGCAGAGGTGGATGATTCATGTTTGAAGAAAAGGGTGACGCCACCAGTGGAGGATATCAGTTTGAGAAAGAAGAACGTTGTTATCCGTGTATCAGTCTCCAAGTGGGAGTTTTGTTATTTGTGGAGATAGGTCCACGATCAAATAATAACTGTTTACGCTATGCTCACGACCCTCTCCTATTTTTGGGAACTGAACAACACCCGCCTCCCAAATTTCACGAATAGAAAGTCCATCCTCTCCGTTTTCGTGAAACACAGAAGCAGAAAGAAAGACCGAGCGATCTCTCCAGTCCGAAGAAAGAAGATATCGCAACTCCTCCTTCGGTAGTTGCGAGCGGTGAAGACAAAGAAAGGAATCGCAGATTTGGGTTTTTCTTTGGGAATGAGTTGTTGCTTGTGGCTTGCGGCAAAGGCAGAAAGAAGAAATTGGTTCGAAAAGGTGCAAGCAGGCAGAAGGAATCGCAAGGTGTGCTCTCCCCGATTCTTCTTCTTCTTCGGTGTATCTCAGTGTAGAGAGAGAAGAAGAGAGATTGAGAAAGTGAGAGATTTTCTCCTGTAATTGTCGTTGAAATCAAACGCTGTAAATTCCACAATTAGTAAAATCCTCAGGAACTCCGTGGATATAGACAATTTGCCGAATCACGTAAATCTGTGTGTTCTTTTTTAGTGTGAATTTTCTCGTTTCATTTTTCACTTCGTCAAAGTCGATCGTTTTCTATTTCTATATATTATAACAATTTCTCTTGTATTGAACAAACAATTTCAGTATCTCTTTGAACTTACTATAATGAAATTGTGTTACAAACTATTTTCGTTTGAACTTGCTAAAACGTGATAATCATTTACGTTCATCAAAATAGTTGTTAAACTATTTGTGATATGATAATGTTTTATCTAGTTCATCGGTTGTTTTTGCTGCATGTATAAGAACATATAAATCAGCAACGAACATTTTTATTTTAATTTTCTCTAAAACAGGCCACAACATAGACCATATAGATCTTCATCTTGAGTCGGGCCTCAAGTTTAAAGAGGATTCCAAACTCAACGAAAAGAATAAAACAATATAAAGAACCGGCCAAAAGTTCGAAGGGCTAGAAAACTGAGATCGTCAGAGTTATGGATACCTTATTTTAGTATTGAACTCTTGCATTGTCCTGATAAACTCATCTCTGTTGCAGTAACAAAAAAGAGAAGGATGTAATAATCCAAGCAATCACAATTTAAGAAAGCCATGAGAGCACGTACCGCTGAATTTTGGCATCGTTCTTTTAGGCAGTCAACAGGAACACGCAGTTAAAATTCATTGTTCAAACACACAACGAAAACTCATCAGAAAAAGTAGAAAAAAAAAGTCAAATTCATGAACACTGACAACCTTAATTGCCTGCATTTCTGTGCTGACTTGAGAGATCTCATCCCGCAGCGCCGAATTTCTCCTCTGTTTTTCCCATCACGGAGGACAATGAAACACCAAGTCAAGTGATGAAATAACAATTAAACCAGAAGAATCAGAAGTAGAAGAAAAACAATAAAATAGCGAAGACCTCCATCGCAAGAAGCAATGCATTGGTCCGATCGAGCTGAGCTTGCGATCCCCTCAGCTCCCGCTCGGCAGCCTCCCGCACTCGTTTTGTTTTCTCAAGCTCAACATTCGCAGCTTCATAATCGGCCTGGAGCTCTAGGTGGCGTTTTTGCAGATCGGAAAGCCTGCGCTCTGTATCACATCAATTTGATCGGTGATTCCGTGGGTGGACAGAAAGAGCAAAATAGAATGTAGGGCTGCATATCTAAGATTAACCTCCTTTCGTTTTCTCAGCGGAGAACTCGAGGATCAGAAGGCGAAGCTGACGCTGGGGGTCATCGTTGTCCATGGCCGGAGCTCCCTGGCTAGCGGAGAGCGATTTCAGAGGCGCGAGAGGGAAGACGATGAAAGGGCAGGATATTCTTAGTGGAAACAAAAGGGGTTTCACTTCCCGCTTATGAATTTGAACCACGAAAGGTGTAGTCTGTATTTATAGTGGACGGGGAAGTAGTATTTATAAATCTTAAATTTAAAATTTAATATTCATTTATATTATATATAAATTCTTGAATAAAAATCATATTGATTCGCATGAATCTCAACACGCACATTTGAATCAGTAGCTTCAGATTTTAAATTTGAAAATGTATGTACTTCAATTTATGATAAAGTAAATTATTTATAAGACAAACCAAATGATATAAAAAATGATCTAATCTTAGTGCAAGTGAGACCAAATCATAAACTAAGGCATAAAGAAAAAATTTGGAGCATATTTTGGAGCATCAAATGATCTCCAAATTAGAAAATTTAAAGTCAAATTTAGCATATGGACAAGATGAATCTAATGGGTCTAATATCACTAAAATATTCAAATACTCTTAAAATTACATCTAATGAAGAGAATTACTTTGGGTCGTTTGATAGGT